CCAGCTTGTCCATGCAGAGAACCAAATGGGAGGAAGGGTTCTAGAGCAGTTACCCACCTTGGGTACCTGTAGACAAAGCTAGGGTGATAATTTTAGGTCTTTTTCACAAGACCATGCAGCCTAGAAAAAGAAAGGGCAAATGTTTAGAAATAATAAAACAAGCGTCAGGCTAGACATCTTTACTTTTTCTCTGTCAGACTAAATTAAGACTAGGTTTTTAGCAAGGTTAGTTTAAGACAACCTTATAGCCATTATGACTACAAAATGAATCAATATTAGCTTTATACCAAAATGACAAACGCAAATGCCAGTAGGGAGAACATTCTGAACAGTACAAAGGGCTCTAAAAATGCAAAGCATTATGGCTAGGTTTTTCATTAATCCCATATAGCTATGACACCCCGCCTCTTGTCAATATTCTATCATACACATTCAAAATAGACTTGATGAAAAGAAACACTTCACCTGCATGAAATTCAGTAATGAAGCAATCTTACTGTCCTGAGACAGAGAAGGAGGAAGGGAAAGAAAGAGGGAGGGAGAAAAGGAAGGAAGGAAGGAAGGAAGGAAGGAGGGAGGGAAGGAAGGAAGGAGGGAAGGAGGGAAGGAAGGAAGGAGGGAAGGAGGGAAGGAAGGAAGGGTGCTCTCTGGGCTTTCTGTCTCCACCGATCTCCCAGGGTGCAGTTCTCATGCACACCCACTGTGACAGTTCATATTTAAATACACAGATTGAGTAGAGCACATTGCCCTCCCTACTGTCCCAGCGCAGCTCCGATGGGCCCTGCGACCCTGCTGGGAAGGGGCACCACCCCGGAGCCAGGCCCTGGCTGGCACCGCTCACATCCACCTCCTGAGCTGGCGGGGTGGGCCTCATCTAATCAGTTGAAGGCCTGATTAGAACCCAAAGTGACCCTGCTGTGATTCCTGCCTGGGCTGCCTAGAACTGGGACATTGTTTTTTTCCTGTCTTTAGACTTGAACAGAAACATTGGCTCTCCCGGGTCTCCAGCTTGCCAACTACAGATCTGGGGTTTATCAGCCTCCAGAATCACGTGAGCCAATTCCTTATAATAAATTAATCTCTCTCTCCTCTCTCCCCTACCCTGCCCTACACTGACACACACACCCTATTGGTTGTTTCTCTGGAGAACCCCGACTACCGCACCACCTTCTGACCAGTGTCCTATCTTTAGCTCTGCTGTCCTCACTAGGGCACTTTCGGTTGAGTCGCGACCCCACGGTGCGACCAGCAGAGGCACGGCCTGGTCCTTAGCCGACAGCCAAGGGAGCAGCCTGCTCACTCCCCCTCAGTCTGGTTTGTGCAATCAGGCTCACAGGGAGAGGAAATCCCACAAAGTAAAGGCCACTCCACAGGGGCCCAGCCTGCGTGGAACCCGCTCCTGCCCAGGCAAACATAATCTCGACCACTGTGATCGATGCGACACTCTGCTGTGAGCTCTCTGATTTTTGATTAAATGTTGCTGAGACTTTTCCACAGGTCAACATTTTCCAACATCCCAAGAAAGTAACTCAGGATAAAAAATACTGAAGCATTATGTGTAACGGTCACAGAGCAAGGACAACCTACGTGGCCATTTAACGGGGAACAGAAAACCACAAAGTGGCCGAGAGCGGCGTCGTGTGTGGCTGGCTGTCCTCCGCAGATGCTCATGGGGGCCGGCGTGTGCCCGCCCGGTGCCAGGCGCAGCGGGAGGCGAAGCAGCTCATGGTGGTTAGCGCTGAACAACCCGCCTCTCACGCAAGTGTCGTTCGCCTGAGGTGTTCCCAAACCGAGCAACGCCCCTTTCTGACGCAAGTACGAGAAAAAGACGCGCCAGACCGGAAACCGCGCCCGCACCGCGACGCACCTGAGACAGACCAGCGAGGGGTGGGAAGCGGCCCGGGAGGGCCCTCCTCTGCCCCCTGGTGTCTAGGGCCCTCTGTCTGCCACGCCTCCCCTCTGCCACCTGCTGGACCCCTGGGACTGGACCACCAGGACCAACGTCCACCCACCTGCTGCAGGCTCTGCGTGAGGGCGGGTGAGCGCCCCGTCCTGGCCTTCCTCTCCACGGAGCTCCCCCTGCTGCAGCTGGTGCAGGGCCACCCTCCGTCGACTGGGCTCGGGCCCCTGCGCCCCTCGGGAGGGTGGTGGGGAGAGCGGTGGCTGCCCGCCTCACGGTCCTGTGCCTTGGAGCGCCGGGTGGCCGCAATGAGGGCAATGCTCTTGGTGCTCACGGCCATCTCCTTGAGGGCCTCTGCCGCCTGCCTCGGGCTGCCCAACTGCAGGCCAGCTGGGGAGCCCAGCTTGGAGACCAGGCCCTTCAGGCCCAGGGAGCTTGGCTCCTGCAGGAAACCAGCAGGCGGTCAGACATCCGGCTCCAGGCTGGGCCCCCAGGAGCAGACCAGGGACAGTGACTCAAGGCCGTAGTGTATCTGAAGGGAAAGGCTGCTTTGGGAGGGGGACAAGGGCCAGGGAAGGCGCGTGAAGCAGCCAGTCCCCAGCCTAGGACGTCCCGTGGGGCGGCGCCGTGCTCAGGCCTCACTGAGGGGTCTGCATGCTTCTGCGCCAGCTCCAGCGTCACGGATGGGGGCTGCCCAGCACCTCAGCACGGGCAGGCCGTCGCCCACGGGCAGGGGTACCCTCGGCATCGTCACCCTGATGCTGATGGCTGTTGTGGTGGCTACCTAAGGAGAGTCCTCTTTCTAGAAGCTTCTGTCCCAGCACAGCTCCGATGGGCCCTGCGACCCTGTTGGGAAAGGGCACCACCCTGGAGCCAGGCCCTGGCTGGCACCGCTCACACCCACCTTCTGAGCTGGCGGCGTCAGCAGGATGCGGAGGGGTGGCGGCCGCAGGAGCAAATCCTCATTTCCTGGCTTTTTTGAGGGTGTGGCCTTCGATGACTTGTGACCCTCACTGTGGAGGAACATGGAGGCATCAGCAGAGCCACTGCAGGGCCTTTCGGTCTTCTGCTGTGGCCGGGGGATCCACAGCCAGAACCTCCAGCCGCTGCGGCCTGCGTCAGGGCGACGGGCCTTCGACACGCCGCTGTGTTGGAGGCCAAGTTGGGTGCACACACCCCTCCCTCGTGCAGCCACCTGTCTGGGCCCGTTCTGAACCTGGAGCCAGGTGTGCGTCGGCTCATGGCGGACGGGGCCTTGCCTGGACCACACCTGCATTCCGATGGGGGACACACCAAAGCAACACGCGGACGTGTGGCCGGCAGCGCAGGCTGCGACACTCGCTGTGAAGGAAACGGCCGTGAGTAGGTGGAGCCGGCCTTAAGCAGGGCGGTCGGGACAGATCGCGCTCTGGAGGTGTGACATCGGAAAGGCCATATCTTGTCTTTGTCCCCAGTCCTGGCCTTCCACCACCCTTGTGATATCCCGAGTGACAGGAATGTCTTTGCTATGCTGACGACTAGCGGTAGTGTCAGGGCCGGGCTGCTCCCGAGAAAGACCAACCAGGTGATTAGAGGGCGGAACTTTGGGTCAGCCTGACCTCTGGGAGGGGACCCAAGGCCAGGCTGGAGACCAAGGCCAGTCACACGCCAGTGAAGTCGGCAATCACACCTGCGTAATGACACCCCGACAAAATCTCTGGGTGCTGAGGCTCAGTGGAGCTTCCTGTTGGCAAAGTGCTCCTGGTGCCGACTGCCCACCCCCATGGGGAAAGGGCAGAGAATCCGCCTCCCAGGCCCTTCCAGACCTGGTCCAACCCTGTGCTTTATAGTAAAACTGGAACCCCGAACACCACATTTTCGGTGAGCTGAGTCATCCGCGTGAACCCTCAAAGTCGTAGCCTCTGGACACAGTGCGGATGGCCTGGGGGCTCCACTGGCAGCTGGCCCCTGGTGTGGCAGCAGCTTTGTGGACGACAGGCCCTAACTGCTGGGATCCGACGCCAGCTCTGGGTGTTAGAGGCAGAGCCGAAGGGCGGGACGCCCAGCCGGCCTTAGACCAGCTGGAGTGGAGACAGAGCAGGAGGGAACATCTAGGCTGAGGCGTGAAGAGCGAGGTTGAAAGGGCCATGCCACGCCCTGGGGGAAGAGCATTCCAGGCAGGGCGACGGCACGTGCGAAGCCCCGGGCGGGGACCAGCCTGGCCCACGGAGGCGCAGCAAGGAGGTGGCGATGGGACAGAGCCACGTGAGTTTGCACCACGTGTGGAAGATGTTGGCTGTTGGAGGGGAAGGGGCTGCCGACCACTTCTTAGCTGTGACCGTCCACGGTCCCACTGATCTACTGTGAAGACAAGGCTGCCTTTCTAGCAGCCTCCATCCGGTGAGGCCACCAGTGACAGTGAGGACAGAGCATCGGGTGTCAGACCCAGGCTCCCCGACGAGCAGCCTGGGGCTCATCCCCTCTGCTCGAGAGTAACGACCTGCAGCAGCGGGGGGAGCTGCTGGGGGCGCCAGGCCCCTGAGGTGCGTGAGCGAGCGCCGGCTGGCAAGGCCTCGGGCGCTGTCAGCGGGGCAGGGCCACGCGACGCCCGCAGGCGGAGGCTCCTGCCCTGAGCCCCGCGTGAACGAGAGGCAGGCACCGGCTTCCTTCCGCCACCCCTCGCCTTCGGGTTGTCGCCATGCATTGCCCTGTGTGCCACATCAGGCACTTGCAGCCCCACGGGGGAGGCACTGAATCGCGTCCCCCACCAAAGTTCATGTGTCGCAGCCCTAACCCCCAGTGTGACAGTGTCTGGAGACAGTCTCTAGGAGGTGAGTGCGGTTTAATGAGGTCACGAGGGTGGGGCCCTAACCCGGTAGGACTGTGGCCTGTGAGAAGTGGAGGAAACTCTCTCTGCACCGTGCCAGCCGGGAGGAGAGGCCGCCCCAGAACTCACCCTGCCAGGGCCAGAGTCTGAAGGTCCAGCCCCCAGAACCGTGAGAAAATAAGTTTCTGTTGTCCAGGCCCCTGGTGCGTGGTGCTTTGTATAGCGGCCTGAGCCGATGCCGACGCTGACGCAAACGGGCAAAACGTGAGCTATTCAACCGAGGGCTGTGTGCGCGCGTGTTCGATTTACTTGTCTGAGCTTCGGCATGTTGGAAATACCAAAAGTAAACGAAAAGTACAACAGAGGAGCGATGGGGAGAGGGCGCCGAGGCGGGAGTCAAGCTGACAGGGAACAGGAGACACGCGCAGCGTGAAAATGCTCCCCCTCCACCGAACCCCCCAGCCCGGCTCCACGCAGGAAGCTCCTCCGCGGACGTGCTTATCCTTCCCAGAACATCCCTGCAAGGAAGGGGACACCGGACATCCCTCACGAGCGGAGACGCAGGCGCTGAGGCCAGCCTCCAGCTCCCACAGCCTCACCCAGAACATGGCCCAGCGGCGTGTGGCCAGGACAGGGTGAGCCCCCTACCTGTCTGGCTCCAGCAGCATCAGCGGCAACTGGAAGTGGGCGCCCCACGGGAGGCCCTTCCTGTCGTCTGGCTGGTCTCGGCTGGGCTCCTCAGGTGGTGGACATATGTTCACAACACAGCCGTCCTGGGACCAGACAGAGATGCTGACGGGGGCTGCATGGACCGTGGACACAGGCAAGCTGTGTCCACAGTGTAGGTCCCTGGGGGACCACCAGCGAGTCCCTTTCCTCCTGGCCACCATGCGAATGAAGCTGCCCAGTGGGGAGGCTGTGCCTTCATCTCAGACAGAAAGGGGCTCTGCACAAGGTGAGTGCCGGGGGCTGCAGGGCGGGCCTCGGCCCCTGAGCAAAGCGGGCACAGGGGAGCCGCCTGCTGTCAGAGCACCCTCACGGGCTGGCAGGTCCTCACAGAGTCAAACAGTCACCACATGTCCCAGCAGGTCCCCTCAGGGGTTTATGTCAGAAAGAAGTGACAGCAGCAGCTCAAACAGGTACGTGCACCCCACGCTCACAGCTGCATTGGTCACAGTAGCCAAAGGGAGGAAGTCAGCCCGGTGTCCACTGACAGATGGATGATACGCAAAGTATGTCACTCAGCCTCAGGAAGGGGACTCTGACACCTGCCACAGCGCGGGCGGGCCTGGAGGACTGTGCCGAGTGAACTAAGACAGTCACGAAGGGGCACACACTGTGATCCCACTTGCCCGAGGTCCCTAGAGGAGCCAGAGTCACAGAGACAGGAAGTGGAGGGAGGGCGCTCTGGGCTGGGTGAGGACGCGGGGTCAGTGTTCCATGGGGACAGAGCCCCAGTTTGCATGACAGCTTTTCTGAGTTCTGTGGGTCCTTCTGGCGAATTAACCTGCGGGTGTCTCAGGGACCCCGACACAAACTTTAGAAAAGGGGTCTTTTCAGGGCAGACACACGTGAAAGGACCGAGGAGGAACGCCCAGCAGCGACGCCGCGAGCAGGGCAGCCACGGGCGAGGAGGCGAAGTCCCGGCGGTGGCAGAGGCCGACCTCTGTCTGGACCCCGCGGCCCGGCCTCCAGAGGCACAGGCAACGTCAGCACCTGGGGCCTCGTTATAGGAACCAGGAGCGCGTGGACCTGGCCCCTCAGAACACACCCTGGACACAGCCCCGCCCCTCTGGCTGACACCTCGAGGATTCTCCTTTCTTCTCCCAAGAAGGCTGGGGACACCAGGCCCCGTTGTGACGACAGCCTCTGTCTACATAATGGACACAGAGGCCTCCGCCCCGGCCTCCTTCCCTAGGGAGTCCCCAGAATGAGCCTCCAACGCCATCGGCACAGGAGCCTGGAGGCACCCGTGGAGAACCAACGAGACAAAGACAAGAGACTTAAAACTGCAGGTATTTGGCCGGGGGCTCCAGAAGACGCTTTTCTCGTCACCAAGGTCACGCTCAGGCTTCCCACCCCACGGGGAGTGAGTTTCAGCAGCGGCCAGGGCTCTGGCCATCACTCAGCCCAGCAGTGCCCTCCTCGGCCAAGCCCAGGGCCATGCTCAGCCGCCCAGCACGCGGGTGCGTCTGGCTCCTGGTTCGCGGGGCGCTGGGCCCTGGCTGGAGCCCGGAGGACTCACCTGCAGCGAGCTGGCCACGACGGA